AGAGCCCCCCTTTGCCTGCTAGAATTCACATTTTCTTCCCTAACATCTCAGTTGTATTGATCTAGAAGTAGAAAAAGTAATGTGCAAAAATGTTCTTTAAGAGATTAGTGGTATAACATTAACATTTAAAATTGGAGAGAGACATTTAGACAAGTAACATGCTGTGAATCAGATTTTTGTTGCTGAAGGATTGTCAGCAAGGTTTCATCTCTTCTGTGTATATTTTGAAAAGCCAAAAGAGTCAGATGCTCTTGTTTCATAAGCCCACAGAGATTACATTGTAACCTGTGCATTGAGGAAAATGAACTTTTAACTGCCTTGAGAGCATGGCCGCATTATTCCCTGTCATTAACTCCAGTTGGCTTAAGAGCAGAATTTATAAGCAGAACTTCAGGGTATAGAAAAATAACAGTAGGAAATGAATATGTAAGTAACAAATACTGTGTTTCCATGGAATTGTGGGGAAGGAAGACAAATAAATATGTTTTACATACATTACCATGGATGCAAATAGATGATTCTCTATGTTGTTAGAGGGGACACAAAAACACTATTGAAAATGCTTCTCAGGGTCTGAAGTCTGACGTCATGCATTCTATGTGTCCATGTCCCCTCATGTGGTATGAGGGGGAAAAAAAGAGTGTTCATTTTTTCATTGCCAACTTTTGTACAATGTGAACATAGTCAATACAAAAGCCTCTTAATGGGAATGTTTTTTCTTATATATTTATTAAGAAATAATGTCTCTTCCCCAGATAATATATGCAAAGAAGTCATCAAGGACAATAGTTTGAGGAATTAGTAATTAAGTTTTTGTAGAATATGACACATACTACTTTTACAATCCAGTGGAAAGCAGCGATTCTTGTAAGTGTTGATCAAATAAAATCAGACTAACTTTTTTACAAAGTATTATCCTGTGGTGTATATGGGAAAGGTTTAGGTCCTTTGCACACAGCTTTGTATTAGACAATTCAAAGGCTGAACACTTTTAATATACTGCAGTAAGACAGATATATGAACCAAATATTTGGAATAGACTTCACGATTTTTTTTTGCAGTGCTTACTGTTAATAATGTATTCATGGTCAAATTGACAAAAAAGTGTCAGGATTTAGTATTAATATCCTGGAGACAACCTCAAGAGACTGTTTCTTGCACTGTGGGCTGATCAGTAACACTTTGACTGTTCATCTAATTTCTTAAAAATCCACATAGAAGGTTTTGTGACAGTTCTCACTTAGCTCTTCTGGTGCTTCACTGACCTTGAAAAGCCTTTGCTCTTATGGAACCTTAGTCCTTCTTTTCTTGCTTGTTAAATTACACACAGTGTTTATAGAGGATGAGAGGGAAGCTTTATGAAAATAAACTTACCAAGACATGATTTCAATCAAATAGTAACTTTTGGTCTGAATTTTAAGTTTCCCACAGGGAAGCAGCAGTAGCAAAGTGGGCTATGGATAGCTTTACAGACAGATTGAATGCAGACCTGCATGGAGGTGAAAAGCATCTGGTTGCACTATAATGTCATTGGAGCTCCATCTATATTCATGTTGCACCAATGAGCAATTTCAATGTTAATATTTTACAATTTGGCACTTGGCTTTGAAGGTTATATTTTGAGCAGGTAAAAGTGTAACTTCTTGTCTTGCTCTTTTCTTGATGAGTTTGTTAGTGCTTTTCTAGAATTCCAACTTGTGTAAACAGAAAAAAACCCTCTAACCAGAAACTTTAATAAAGCTGTGATTTCCACTTTTAGTGCAGCATCTGACTTAGCACAAAGCCAGGTTACTTACCCACAGATGTCATTATCATGGAATATCTTCCTAAAACAATGACTGGATTTCTACAATGTGAACAATATGCTGGAGAAAATGCTTTTGAAAAGACATCTAATAGTACTCACTATCTCTGCTTTTAACTTTGCCCTGCAAGGAAAAATCTTTCTTTAGTTGTTGATCTGAGCCCAGTTGATCTCAACTGTCTCTTACGATTCCTGATTCTGGTTTCTTCTCTTCCTCAAAAAATTTTTGTTTTCTTTTAAAAGAAAATTGACAAAATGTGATCTTGCTCTCCCCTTTTCCTCAGGTCTTTTACACATTTGTGCCTAAATCCTCTGTTTTCTTCCTTGTTATAGCCACAGAAAGTACACTTTGGTTAATGTTGTTTAATCTTTTTTTACCCAGTAACATCACTCTGTCTTCTAATCTGCTTCGTTTTCCTTCTTAACGTTTCACTTTCTCTTGTATTAGGATTTTCCAGTTTATAACTAAGAAGCAGAGTATTTTTTAAATTCATTTGGGTCAGCATGAAACAAAATGAATTGAAATTGAGGTTCTTTTAGAGTGAAAGGGAAAACAAAATGCTGTTTAGATTTTTAATTTTGTGAATTTGATTGCTTTATTTTAATGTCTTGTCCATGTCCCCACAGTTTTGTAGGAAGGAGATCCATAAGTTTATTATAAAATAAGGATTAAACAACATTCATTTGTTTTTCTCAAACCTGTAAAAGTATTTTGGTTTAGAAAATATTGTAGCAGAATATTTAATTTAGATGCTCTCCAGATTTTCAAGAAGCTTACATCTACCAGTTCTTTCTGTGCAACACTTCTAAGGTACAGTCATTTAGTTGCATTTCCATCCACTTAGAGTTCTGAAGCATCACCTTGGTCTTCTCACCCCACCTTTCAGCTGGGGAGATCCTTTTACTTGGCCTTGAAAAAGGCAGTCTTGTCCTTCTCGTGTCTACTCAGGATTCTGCTGTAAAGGGAAGATATTTCTAGCCCATGCTGATGTAGCTTTGGAATACCACACATTGAATTTTTCAGTTGTTTTCCTCCTTCTCTATTTTGCCACAGAAGCTTCTTGTGTTCTCTTTCCTGGTGCTTCAGGACTCATTTCCACTCAGGAGTCACTCATTTAATATTCACTGTTTCTAACAGGCTAAACCTTACTCTGATACCCATTGTAGTGAGTTTGACTGTGTCATAAACTGGTTTCTAAGTCCCTCTTAGGTCATCAATAAACTGTACAAATAAATCCCAGTTAGGAAAAGGCACTATCATCACCTTCTCTCAGCATGTCAAAGCCCTTGGAGGACTTGGGGACAATGTTATCCAGCTGCCTTCTTTGTGTTAAATCTCTTTTTTTTTTGTGGGCTTGCAGCATGATCTCAGTCAAATTTGAGATCTAAGCTTTGAACAGTGTCAGGTGGACTGTGCTAAAATTCCTGGCTCAAAAAATGATAAGGTGAATAAGCACCATGGGGATAATGTGTTACAATTTTAAAAGACCAGAAAACTTAAGTAACAGCTACAGTTGTGATAGGTTGAGGCTTTCAAGTGTGCAGTGTATACTGTGACTGCTGAATCAAGTCATCTTTCTTTTAAACTTTCTATTTTGTTCTTTCTGTTGAAGTTAGGAATCAAAAGTTTCCTGTTCTATGAATGACAAGAATCAGAGAATGAATGTATACTTGTAATTAATTTTCAGCAATTAACAATTTGCAAGCAGTTTGAAATTTATTCTTGCCACTGAATAAAGAGCTTTTGGAGAAATAACCAAAGACTTAAAATTCTGAATCTGCAGCTTGGGAGAGGGAAGTCAAAGAAATTTGTTGAGGTCCTTCTTCAGTAGTAAGAATGCATTTGCTAACAACAGTTAATGTTTATTAATGAGGAACTGGATTGCTACTTGAAACTTCTGCTAGACTTTTGGAAAATGTTCTCTTGAAAAGAACCAGTTAAAATGTCAGTAAAAGGGATATTATTGTAGGTATCATGTCTTCTATAATTTGAGATTCTATAGTGCATGTGGGCTTTATATGTCAGCTGAAGTTACTTATAAAGTAACTTACAAAGTTAACATTTATCTTGATGATGATTTGTGCTATTTAGGTTTTAGGTCTGATCTTATGCCCATGTCAGCTGTTGTTGGAAATGATAGAGACATTTGGAATCTGGAAGAATCAGCTTCACAAAATCATCATGACTCCTTGGAAGAGTGATGCCAGGTTCCCAAATGAGTCAAGCCGTATTTGAAAAATCTGTGGACCCAATTTACACTTTTTGTGAGAGAATCATAAAGGGATGTGCTGATAATTAAAAAGTCTCTCCTCAGTTACCAAGTACATTGTCATTCCATTGGCTACTTGCCATCCAGTTTTTCTTTTCTGTGGTACCACTCTTATGTGCTAGTGCAAATTAGAATAGGAACAACTATGGTGTGATTACTATGGCAGCATAAAGAAAGTGTATTTTTTCCCTTTGTTTTATGCCAATAATGAGGAGTTAAAATGATAAAAATTAGTAATAGAAACTCCCATTAAAGATGTGATGTAGTGAGAATGCGTGAAAGATCTAAATTTTTTGGAAGCTTTCAGGGTGGAAATGAAAGCATTGCTTCCTGAGCTTTGGATGGCATTCTTCCTTTCCCGCCCATGACAATGGGAGTATTGCAGTTCTGTGTTCCTGAATCCAGTTGAATTCCTTGTAAGCTAATTTATGCTAGACAGAGTGCACTTTTCTAATTGCATGTGTTCTGTTACTTTGCTACTCATAAATTCTCAGGCTAGAGAATAATCTTTATAAAGGATGAATAACAATTTTCTGTGTTTTATTATCTTCAAGGTTCCACTGGTGTTCTTCATTTTTTGGAAAGTAAAAGATCCAAGGTTTAATGTTTTCCAGGATGCTGATAAATTATGTTACAGGTCTGACCTTAGAAATTGAAATAAATAGGGATCATAAAGGCTGTTCTTCATCTTCTGCTGTTATTTCTCCTTAATCATAAAGCACCTAATAATTGTTTTAATTTCAGACCGTTTTATTGTTACCTCTAACATGTGCAAATTAAGCATATATTAAGAATGTACATTTCATATTGGGTGATTGAATGGAACTTGTTATTGTGACTAAGTTGCTTTCAGAATTTTCTATGCATTATTCTAAAAATTGACTTCCCAGTAACACCGCATACAGAACTTTTAATCTCTTTTATAGGGTTGTGACTCTCAAATGAGCATGTCAGAAGTGTCCTGCAGTGAAAGTACCTCCTCTTGTCAGTCTCTGGTACATGGCTCAGCTCCAGAAATCCTCATTGGCCTCCTCTATAATGCTACAACTGGAAGATTATCAGCAGAAGTGATAAAAGGCAGCCACTTCAAAAACTTGGCAGCGAACAGACCACCCAGTGAGTGAAAATCTTTTTTCATCCTAATGCTTCTGTACTGGTGGGGCTCTCAGTAGCAAGGACTTCAATCTTATCACTTAGTCTTACCCAATCAAAATGAAATAGAGCAATCATCAACTAATCTGTTTCATGTTTTATATTTCTAGTCAGTTGGGAAATAGCAAAAAATCTAAAATTCAAAATATTAATTGTAAGTTGACAAGCCTGTTTTAATTTTTCATGATGACTGACTAATAAATTACCTTTATCATAATGATTAATTGCTAAATTACTAATGCCTCACATCACAGGCCAAGAATAAAAAAGTCAGTGTTTAAAGAGAAAGTACATGCCAGTTAATATTAATATAAACATTCTGAACAGTTATTGCTGTTCCTGGAGGGGTTGATGCTGCAGTCTTTAATTGCCTATGTGCCTGTATATATGTGGTAATATATGTAATTTGGGAAGTCAGTAAAGCAAGGAGCAACCACTTGAGGCCTTTGGCATATTTACTATACAGGAGGAATGTTCACCATCAGAAAGGACTTGAATTGTGTCTTCAAGCATTTGTTCAAAAATACACGTCTAAAATATCTGTGAACTTTATATACTACTTAAGTGGAGCCAGATGGAATGTCACAGGGAGAGAATGTTATTACTGTCTCTAGCTCTTTGACATAGCTTGAGAAAGTTCAATAACAAGCTTATTTTTTTTCTTCTTTTTCTTTCCTTTTTTTTTTTTGATTTTTGTTGTTTTTTAAGATGGTGGGTCTGATTTACGTAAATGTTAATAAGAAATACCTACCTGTTCCTTGTGATTTTGTCAGGAGGCTCAGGTTTTAGCTACTCTTTCTGGCTTTAAGCCCCAGATCAGTATGGCACTAGCAGATTATCTGCTACTGGATTATGTATTAGGCTGCCAACATTTTGTAAGTGGTTTGCACATCTCACTTTGTCTTCAGAGTTTAGAAAGTAAGCCAGAGTTGATACTGATGCTCTCTCCTCTTCCTCATTTTCTTGACCCATGTTTGTTCTATTCATAGTTGGCTCACCTTACTCTGCTCTGCTTTCTCTATACTTTTCACACCGATGGAGCCAGACTTTGCTAGCACAGCCAGAGAAGGAAGGCAATAGATGAATCTAATACTTCTATATAATTGGGCAGCTGCCCCAGCATCACCTGTTTGGAGACAAAGTGTAGAAACAGATGGGGAAAGCCAAAGAGGACACTGGAGTGTGGGAAGAAATTAAAGGGAGAGAAGAGATCTCCTGTTCCCTTAAAGCAAAACCAGATGCTTGTCTTTCTGGAATCTCAGAGATGGCCAGTTTTTATTTAATATTTAGAATATGCAAGGTAGGAGAGGTTTAGTACTTGTTTTGAAAACAGAGATGTTATTCCCCAGTATGTTAATTCCCAGAATGTGCTCAATGGGCTCATGCTGTGTAGCTAACAGTTGTGAGTGTCACTGGGGTCAAAAATCTGTTTCAGATTGCAAGAAAGGAGCAGAGAACATGGCACGTAGCCCTGTAAAATCATGGTCTGTCTAACCTTTTTAGAGGGAAGAGCTTCCATGCTGCCTTTTGTCCCTGTGAAGGATAAGGGGAGGATTTGATAATAACAGTGGTCCAGCTCTGTTAGGGCAAATGTGGGTTCGGAGTTCTGTTGTTTCTAGAAAGCTGGAAACTAATGAACTTTCTGGGTCTGGTAAAACCATGCACAGAATATTTTGGAATCCAGATTTCCCCTTTGGGCTGTTTTGTGCCATCCCCCTCTCCTGCCCCCAGCAGTGGTGGCACCTTTTAAACTCCTGGACACAGATCCATGCCACTGCCATATCCTAATCCCATACATCATGGACGTCTGCCAGCCTCAATCCGTGCCAGCATTTCCACAAAATGAAAACTAAGGCCTGTAGGGATGATGATGATGATGATGATGATGAATAAATGTCCTGTTCACAATTGTTGTTCGGACTATCAGTGCTCCAGAATCCCGAGAAGTGCTGGAAAGTATATGCACAGTTCAGTTTTCATTCATGCATTGAGGAACTGTTATAGAAATGGAAGCAATTACTCTTTCCCATATTTCTGTAGTCTAGGGCTTGGGAACTTGAAAATTTTTGTGAAGTGCCTCTGCAGAAAATATGAACTGAATACTAAATTTTTACTTCTTACTAGTACATGCTCCTCTACTGCATATTTATATTACATAGTAACTCATTTAGCAGTTGAGTACAAGCAAATGGTCCAGATCCTGCAGGCAGTAACAGTGGATGTATCTTCTTTGTTTCTCTGTGTAACAGTTGATATTTTGCCTGAGAAAAAGATGCTTCTCAGTTTTCCTTGAGGTTCAGTTGAAAATATGTTGCATATTAAATGCATGTGTGTGTATATGCATGCACACACACATTAAATCCATAAATATGTGGATTTTAATAAGCAAGGTCTTTAAATCCTAAACAGAGACCCATTGCTGAATTTTAGATATAAGTGACCCTCAGCTCTTTTCAGGATAACATCAGAGTCATTCTTGTGCCCAGTTCATCACTGCTCAAGAGCTGAAGTATTACAATCAAATATCTGTAATTAGAAAAGCTAAAGGCAAAACCAGTTTGGTTTTCAGTTCAATTATTTTTCATTTTATTGCTTAATATATGAATTTTAATTACATTAATGTGTAGTTTTTCTAAATATGCTGGAGTTTGCATGAAAAAGCATAAGGTTTGATAAGGATATAGTGATCTTTACCCAATCTGCTATAATTTATAATTTGTACAATTCTTGCTATGGTAAGTGTGGCTTAGAATCCAGTGTCTATTAGTCCTAAGATAACCCATTATGTAAGCAATGTAATTTTTGTTAAAGGTTACACAAAAACTGCACAAAATTTCTGTTTCATTAAATTTTACCTAATAATCCTTTTGTTCAGTCCTTTTTCTGATCTGTGCAGCTAAGCTTTCATGTTCTTCCACTCCAGTGAGTAGTGTTTCCTCTTAAACTTTAACCTTTGATCCTCTCTCACCCAACTATTGACATCTGGTCATTATTTCTTTTACTGCTTTCCACCCCATTGTCAGATGGACTGTTCTGTTGTCTAAAACACTTGATAGGTGGACAGGTTTATATAATCCGAGGTGAGTTCCTGTAGAAACTAATTGGATGTTGTCTTTTTCATGCAAAAGAAACCTGCCAGCAGTAAAATATCCACAGCTGCCTACCATGCCAGTTTATAAAAGTATATGTTTATTTTTTGTGGCACTCTTTAATGCAAAAGTTGCATTTATCTCTGATTATGGATGTTGGGGTTTCAGTGTACTTGCAAAGTGAAAATACTCAATGTGGTTTTTTTAGGATAAACTCCAACCTTTAATTGATATTATCCATTAATATGAAAAGATAGGAATAAAAATTAAATATGAGATTGTTTTATGCAATTTTATATTTCCTATCATTAGTTAACTTCATGAAATGTGCATCCTTCTGCAGGAGCATGATTTGGTGCTTTTGGTCCAATGAAAATAGATATTTAAAAATAAGGGTTTATACCCAAATGCTAACACATAATGTGCACTTACTGCATTACTTGCATCAGCTTCTTAAATGTGTGCTTAAAAGCACCATACAAGCTACATTTTGAACAATCATCTTGACTTGTGCAAAATCTTGCTTTTCTTAAAACATGCAGTAAATGTATTCCTTCATGAATCTAGGAAATAATAGGGTTTTTTTAATTGTGTAAACTTCCATCTTTGAATGCACTTTGCTACATTTTGGTTTTCAAGATAAATAAAACTGAAAAGCCCAAAATGAGAACCACATCCATGCAGAGATTATTTTTAAGCATTTTATCTTGGCTGTTTTGATATCATTGCTGCATTTTGACATAATTTTCTTTTCCTCTTCATTAATTGCCTTTATTCCACTTTGTTTATCCATATTTTTGAAATTTCAGTGGTATGCTTACAGTGTTGTGGCTAGCTGGAGCTTGCTAAGTGTTAATGCAATTTAAGTTTTTTTAGACTAAACAAGGTGGGAGGGGTCAATGGGAAGAGGATTATGAGGTATACCTTTAACTTAACCCATGTCCATAGTGCTGGAGCTAGTTCATTTGTTAGTGTGTTTGTAATATGTTGTTTACTTGTCATGTCTCCATGCGTTCAGCCATCCTGGTATACACCATATCCTCGTTCTCTGTAATCACCTCCTTCTCCAAATCTCTGGCTCCAAGCTATCTGACGTTCCACCATGTGACTTCTTTTGTAGATACATATGTTAAGTTAACACTGCTGAACTCGATGGGGCAGGAGATGTCCAAGTGCAAGACTTCCATCCGCCGAGGGCAGCCGAACCCGGTGTACAAGGAGACGTTCGTTTTCCAGGTGGCGCTGTTCCAGCTCTCGGACGTGACGCTCATTCTCTCCGTCTACAACAAGCGCAGCATGAAGCGCAAAGAGATGATAGGCTGGATTTCCTTAGGTCTCAACAGCTCAGGAGAAGATGAACTAAACCACTGGACTGAAATGAAGGAGGCTAAAGGACAGCAAGTCTGTAGATGGCATACTCTACTGGAGTCCTAATGGATGGTAGAAGGTGCAGCCGTGGTTCTAAGGGAGCTTGTTCTCCCGGGAAGACGTTCATCCCTGGTCGCAATCAGCAGATTCATTGGGGGAGTAAAAAATGGAAATTGCAGTCAACATTCCATCGGAAAGGATGCACAACGTGCAAAATGGTGGCATTTAATACAGAATCTTCACTTGGTGTCATGAACTTCCTTGGTGTCAGAGGATCCTTGCTGTACACAGATACGATAGCGGTCCCTTCCCCATCCACCTGATGCTGTATTTGTTTGGGTTTGTTTTGTGGTCTTCAATTCAGAAACATTTTGTGCGAGGTTCTCCAAATTAATGTAAGCTCCTCCTTGTGTACCTTTTGTATTGCTTTAATACTGTAGCTTCTGACCTGCCTGCATTCAGATTAAAGGTCAATAGTTTGCACTTTCAGAAAAAGTTAATGGTCTGTAAAGCAAAAGCAAAAAAAAGAAAAACCACTGGTGAAAGAACACTTAATAATACAGCAAATAGAAATATACTGTTGTTTTGCACTGAGTTTCTTTCCAGGAGCTTGGTAAAGTAAGTTTTCATTTTTTGATATGCAGTTGGTTTGAAAAATACTGGCATTTGGGCGTCAGGTGAACTTTGACATCAAACTAATGTTTCTTCAGTCTGTGACAGGAACAAGCTCTATATATGGCAAAAATTGGGTTTTTCCCTCTTGCCTGTACTTCTGCCTAATCCAAAGAGACCAGACCATTCGTTTGGTCCCTTCCAAAACTCCTTAGACAGGTTGTACTGTAAAACTATGTAACTTTCTGTTGAAAGCACTTCCTCTACTCATGTATTCCAATGTAGGAAGCTCATAGAGCGCGACTTTACTAAAATATATTTTCATTAAACAAATTGATACAGGTTTCTTTAAAATGTCAGCAGTTGGAAGTTAGCTTGAAGGACTGTGAAGGAAGTAACAGCAGTTGAACTACTCTGGATGAATGCAAAATACTGTGGATTTGCTTGAGACAGGTATCCATTCGGGTCTCTTGTGAGCTGTTTTAGGCATTACCATATGCTGTTTGTTGGAAGTAGAGAGCAGACCAGGGGTTTTTACCTTTCTTCTTGAAGAAGAGAACATCAGTAAGTTATTTTTCTAGGGATTTTCCAGCAATGGAAAGAATGTTCACACACAAACTAGGAGTTTGCTTTGCTTGTATTCAGGTTGGGAAACACAGCTTGCTAATGATGCAGTTGAGAAGCTGCAGTATCACCAGATAAACACTCCTGGCATCCACCAAAACTGGGGAAATATCAGTGCTTCTGAGGTTCCTATTTGTCCCAAAGCCTTTAGCTGGACTCACACCAATTTATTGACTGCTGAATCCAATTTAAATTACTAAAATTATAAGTTACTGAGTAGATGTATTTTAAAAAAGCTTCCCAATTTAAATATTCTTTCTGCTTGTAATTACAAGTTTTGTTTAATTGTTCCTGTAAAGAAAACAAGCAATTTCTTTTTTATTATAAATGATGATAATGTCTTACTAATATGAGACCTCACTGACTGTTGTAGCACTTGGTGGGTAGAAAAGTGTTGGATTTTGTTGAGACAATTAGTGTTAGTCTCAAGTGTTCTCATTAGGACCGATGTGTTCCTCTTGGATTCCTTCATAATACCTTTGAACAGTCCTGGCTTTGGGGTATACAGACAGTCAAGTACAGTGGGACTGGGGATGGTGAGTATGCTGTAAGAAAGATATTTCACATGGTTCTCAAATTCTCACACTATTTAACAATTTCATTAAGTCCTTTTTAAAGGATTTTGTAATTCCATGTCTTGATTTATTTGGTGTCAATAGACTGATTTATTTGCAGAGCCAGGCTTTCAGTTTTTATTGATTTAAAGACTTAAACATTATTACAGACCTTTGTGTTTTGGGTTTTTTCCTCCTGATATTGCACTGCTGCTTCATTTACAGAAGCTTTATTTACTAAATACAAATAATGCAACAACTTTCTTTAAACAGGAATGGTCTTGCAGTTATACAATGCAGGTTGTCTCTCTCAGTCACTTTTGTTAGTCCAGTTTGAGAAATGTAATGTTGATTGTATAATTTAATACAAAATCAGCATTAATTTAATATGCATAAGAAAAATGCTCAGATTTTCACAATCTTTTCAGCTTTCCATATAATAGAAGCAATGACGTAGAAGCTGTTGTGAAGCAGTTTTTCATTGGATGTGGAGGGAGTTTTATCTATTCTGTTTGTGGATATTTAGATGCTCTTTCCTAAAACTGAAAATTGTCTCTTGATGGATTGTCTCTTTGTACAGCTTTTGTTATTTAAAATAATGTACAATATTGAACAGCAAGAACTGGGTCAGGTAATTCCAGTGGAGAACATACTTAACATCATCACTGAACAAATGAAGAAGTCAGTTTGGAAGGTGCAGCAAATAACCTCTTACAGAACCAAACTAAATGAAACTGTGTCATGATGTGGGTTTCTGTTTGTAGGTTGCATTGCTTCAGCTTTGTGTTTCACCATTTAGATTTCCAAGGCACTGAAATCTTAATTTAGACACAACAGAGATTTCTGGTACTCTGTGTTGGGCTCATTTGGGAAGAGGAATCTCTCTCTAGGACTTTCCTAAAGCATTCAGGACCAGTTTGTGCTTCAGAGAAGGATGGTTTACTTGGATTTATAAGAGGCTAGAAACTGAATGTTTAAAGAATGGAAATGAATGTTTAATTTTGACACAGTAGAACATTGATTTGCTGTGCAAAACCAGTCGCAGCAATAATTGGATTCACCTTGGGATTTTTGTGAGTTAATTGTAGTACCAATAGCTCTCATGTTTTTTTCTTTCTAGAACCTATTCTTATGATTTGATTTGTTTGTAATTTTGTTTTTCATTGCTTATGCAAACCTACACCTTTGTATTTGAAATCTGCCTTCATCTATTGTGGGTTTTTTAAACCCTACATAAGGGCTTGCACACACAGTGTGGTTTTGTGCATTCAGTTAGGTCTTAAGCATGGAACAGAAATGATGAAAAACAAAGTATCGCTAACAAATTATAGGCACTAATATTTTCCCCAGAGTTGGCTGTGTTTTTTTCATAGCTTTTTGTTGTTTGCCTTTGTTCAAAAGTACAGTAAGTACTTGAAAAAAATGTATCAAATTAGTTACTTTTCTGTGTGCCAGCAAACCATGTAGAAATTGCAGATCTTGAATTGAATCTGTTTCCTGTCAGTGTAGCCTTAAATAATTGTAGAACAGTGACGTTTGTACAGATTCTCTTCTTGGAAGTATTGCATCCTTTCTGTATATGATCTGTTTGGTTTAGTGCTTAGAATATTTCATACAAGTCGTCCTAATGTGTTATAAATGCGAAAAAGTTGCTCAGTTCCTTTCTGTAAAGGGCAAGGCTGTGAAGGGCAGGACAGGCAAGCAGGGAATCAGTGCACCGAAGGAGTAGAGGCTGTGCAGCGCCTGCAGGACATCGCTGCCTCCCATCCTGTGGAGCAGGAGGGCAGCAGAGCCATCCTGCTGCTCCTGCTCAGCCAGGGGCACAGGGAACCAGGGGAGCACTGGGAAGGTGCAAAGCTTGGTCCCTGTGCTGCTGCCTCAGGCTCAGGATGTGAGATGTCCACGCTGTAGCTGCACGGTGAGGTCTGACTGCAAAGGCAGAAGCAAGGAAAGGTGTAAGCTCTACTATAGGAGAAATATGACAATTTCTAAATGAAATTCATTAAAAATTAGATTTGGAAATTTGGGGAGCCCTTGGAATGAACATTTGTGCTTTTGTGGGAGCTAAACATTGTTATCAACTTAGAAAATACATGAGCTGAAAACAAGATTGTATGGCATTTACTACTGGAAATTCTTTTACCTGTAAATTTTTCAAAGACTTTTGATGACAAAAGCAGTGTCAGCATCAGTACCTTCCCATTTTCACACCTTTGGAGCAATTCTTTTGTTGTCTAAAATTTGTGTTTACAGTGTTCCTGATGTATTCTCTTTTCTCCCCAATGGCTCACTCCTGCAAACTCCCCATGTCTCTGAAAAGCTGCCTGTGGCAGTCACTGGACCTTAGAGGTAAGGGATACTGTACTTTAAGGTACTGGTGCAAAATTTCTGTCACCTCTCCAACTCCCAAAGATTTCTAACATGCAAACCATCAGTTTTAATATAGCAAACCAGAAGAAGAAAACTTCTTTGAGGGAGACATTTTCATGTAGGAATTGAGTACAGATCACTCTTACACATCCCAATCCTAACAAAAAGTGTGGATTTAGGTCAGGGAATGAGGTTTGAGTGCAGGCCTTCTGGCCTGAGCTGTTCTAGCTTGAAGCTAACAACAGAATGCCCTTTCACTGAACTCAGAGTTGTGTTGAGCTCTCTGTTTATGACACTTTTCTAGAGGAAAAACACCTGTCCTGTTTATAGTAGTCTTTAAAATTCTGGCTTGTCACTTGGTTGTAAGGCAGACTGACTTCCTTCTGAAGCTGAATTCTCAGTAACAGGTAAACATCCTTTTTATTTTCCCACTGCTGTGCATGGTTGCCTGCTATTAATGTTAGTGAGAGGAGCAGATCTCACCCTGAAAGTGTGAGGAGCAGTAGGATTGGTGGGTTAGAGGGGTAATACAGCCTGGCACCTGCAACACAGTCAAATATGATTTCAGTTATGAATGGAGGTAAAAAACAATCATCTAGATACTGTCACAAACTTGTTATTTAATCATTATCTCTTATTTTTGTTTCTTCTTTTCCTCAGCTTTTGAATTTTTTTTAAAACTTATTATTAAAAATGTTAAAGCAGTCCCTAAACATCTTGATCATTTTAACTGGAATATTCAGCAATGTTTATTGTTAGAAGGAGCCATCAAGAATGTTCTGGTTTTTTGGTCTTTAACTCAACTGCTAGATTTTGTAGTACATCACAGCTGGATTTCAGACCACTTTGATCTGATGGTAGTTCTTGAGGGAAGAGTCACAGGAGCATTTCCTTGTCAGTGAATCACCAACACCCATTGAAGAGATGTCATCTGGGAGCAAGAACATTAAAATAAGAGATGGCTCCTTACAGCAGCAGCAGCAGTGACTCATATTCCTCTCTTGGACCCTGTGGCCCTCGGAGGGCCCTGCTCAGACAAACTGTGATGTGTGAGTTGTGGAGTTCATGCATTCACAGCAGTGCTGGTCTCTGTGGACATTGTGTGGCTTCTAAACCAATGTGTTTTACAGAGGGTAGATGGTTTTTTATTTGCCTTGGGTGTGTAGGGCAAGTGCCAACTGTCCTACAGTGACATGGATTAGTTTAGCCTTAAGAACTTATCACTGCCCCTCCTTAAATTCAAGCAGGGTTTCTTCCTTTCTGCAGACTATGCAGAAATCTTATGCACGAGTATCTGCTTATATTATGTCTACCTGAATATGGCACAATTATTAGTGCTGGCAAGCTTAGTTCCTATGTGGTGTGACTGAAGTACTGGATGGGCCTGGTACATGCTGGATCAGGTTTTTCTGTTCAGGCTTATGGTGGATGGATATAGATACATGGTCCTTGTGCTGAAAATGGGCCAGGAGTCAGGCAAGTGGCTGGTTCTGCTCCTGTAGGAATGAAGATCAGGAGACAGCTCTGCCCAGACAAAGCTGTCTTATAGCAAGAAGGATTAATTCATTTCCTTGGAAGCATCTGCTGGTCGAGCTGGCATAAAGGCCCTACTCAGGAGAGCAGAAGCAGTAATACCATACCACTGAAGGAATACCTCATGGACATTCAGGGATGTAATTAATGTCATCCTTTTCTCTCTTGTATCTGAGAACAAGAGTCTTGCCCATTGTATCAATTTAATTTTTTTTCTGTGTTTTGCAAACCCCGTGGACACTGACTGCATGCTGAGGGTCTAAAGTGGATTGCTTTTTAACTTTTCATTTCCAGAGTGTAAATTTGAATGATTTTGCAGAATTAACTAGAAGCATTCTCATAGCGTTGAGATGTAATCTCTAGGCCATAGTACAAGCAAGGAGCAGGGCTTTGAACCGATTTTGATGGTCGATTTTGCAAATGGCTTGTTATGACATTTTAAGAAAATTTCTAAGCAGTTGAATGTATTAGGGAATATTTACAAAAAAGGACATAGAGCAATGACCTTTTTTTACTCTACAGCTAGTTTGCTGTCCTTTCCAGTAAACCACAAGGTTCATTAGTGCTCAGTACTGTTTCGTTTATGATAAATGTTTTTAATGTGATTTTCATGACAAAGTGTAATTAGTGAAACCTTTTATTCAATTTTTCCCTTTATTTGCTTTTTTTAAGGAGAGATTTCTCCTTATATAGTATATATACTTTCTTACAGAGCTTTCTTACCTATTTTTATATAAGATGATTTAACAATGTGAAATTAAATGCTCTATGAGCAAGCTATATCACTGTTAACGCAATCAAAAGTGCTAATATAATGACTAAGGGCCTGAACCTTCTGCCTTTTACTCAGGTCCTGGTTTAACCAGATGTCTTTCATGCTGTGTAGGACCTTTCCCTGTAAGCACTTCCATCTAATCCTGGGGATGTCTCAGAGAAAGGCACTATTAACATGAATAACAGTGGTAAAACTGAGCCTCCTCTCCATTCTTAGTGGAACATCTGTCATGAGTAAAGGCTGCTGGCTTTGTCCCAAAATATAGTTTTAGATTATAGTTCCCTTGATCTTCAGTGATTTTGAACTTGTTTTTCTGGTGGCTATAAGCTAATAACTGATCTTAGTGAATACAAATATTGAATTGTGCTGTTACCAGCAAGATTATTAAAATGTGTTCCACATTTTAATTCATTCTTTCATTGGGATATAAGGAGTTGGATTTGTAAAGCATTATATTGCATAGAAATAGCACACATTCACCACATTTCTAAAAGGTATGAAATATACAGTATGTAGCATTTTCTTGCATACTTTTATACTGCCTGTACGTCACCGATGCACTCGGTGCCTTCCTTCTTTTGTATGAAACTTAATCTGTAGAGAAACTGAAGTTATGGTGTGTAAGCAATGTCACTGCAACCCAAGAGATGTCTTAAACTGATTATTCCTAGTCCAGGAGGTTTCAAAGGGCAGTTCAGTTTAACACAATGCATTTCTTTGAATTTGAAGTTTTCCCCTTTCCTTCCTCTCCCCCACCCCGCCCCCCATCCAAAAAACTTCCTCATATGGCTGTTTATTGTTAGTTGGTTCCTGTGTCTGATGTAAGTCACATGGTGTTAACCAAAGAACCAAGCCTGTTTCTAATTATTTGGACAAATAATGTTTGGACTTGCAATTACTTAAAGACAAAAACGATCTGATGGATCTCTGTTAACAAATATAAAATAGGCTTCTGTAAATGTGACTCCCAGCTGAGAATTCCAAATACCTCTTTTCTGAATGGATGTGCATTGTTGTATCAGTAGCAAAGTGTTTGGGTTGTGTTTCTTGGTGCATTTTAATCAAAATCCTATCACAAACAAAAATATCAGTCAATGCTGTCAGATTAGCTTGGTTTACCATGTTCTACCTATATCTGAAGTGTGCTGCTTTAAAAACAGATTTGGCTTTCCTGTGTCTGAAGTCCTGGTGTTGTACAATAATTACCTGGTGTATGCTGGTCTCACAGGAACAGACTGATGCTGCATCTATGTACCCTTCCTACCTTCATTGTACAATTTCTGTAATATAACACAGTTTTCAACTACTGTTTCAACCTGAAATTCCTTAAATTTCAATGCATGTATAGCCTTAA